TTTTAGTAAAGGAAAGGGATACTGATGTATTGTGAAACTTGGCTCTACCTTGAAATCCAAGACGACCATTTAACTCTACCTCATTATATTGTATACAGGTGTGATAAAGGTAGAGGAGGTGGAGTGTGCATTTATGTCAGGGGGACTAAGTGTAATGCCTCTTACGATGGATGCAGAAAGGACAGAAGGGGTGGAGGATGTCTGGGTTATGGCGCAGTCGCGCAAACTTCCCTCCATATGTAGGCTGCATGTGCCGTAATCCGAAAGACGCAGCCAACTCTTTTACCTATATCTCTGATGTTTTTAAATTGGTATCTTTACAAAACAAATGTTTTTCTTTTGGTGATTTCAATTATGATTTTTTATCTGCTAACAATAAGCTCAAAAGAATAATTAACAATCATAAATTGCATCAGCTAATTGATACGCGAACTAGGGTAACAAGTCAATCTGCTACACTTTTAGATATAATTGTTACCAACCAGCCTCACACTCTCATCAAATCTGACAGCATGCCTTGCCACGTAGATCATGACCTAATCACGGTCACTATCAATCTGCGCAAACCTAAACAAGACCCAGAAGTGAAAACTTTTCGGCAGCTAAACAATTTTTAACAAATGTTTAGACGTTCGTGCATCTGTGGTCACGAAAGAGGTGAAGAGACCTTTTGCCCCCTGGATAACTGATGACCTCCGCGCGTTAAAGAACGAAAGAAGCCGCTCAGAATGAACTCAAGAAAGACAGGCTTAATGAGCACTTACTACAAAAATACAAAGACCTAAAACGACGTCAAGAAATCTCTTAACCAATTCCAAAGCTAGGCACTCCTCTATTCAACTAGAAGAGTGCCAGGGTGATAGTGCGGCCACGTGGAAAACCCTTAGTTGTCTTTTTCACGATAACAGGAACAAATGTAGCAGAACCCTGATTAAGGATGATGCATCTATGTATCTATGTCGATGATTTCGACAAATTCTTTGCAAATGTAGAGAAAAGTACTTTTGAAAAATGTCATCCTGACTGCAATACTAATAACGTTGAAATAGGAATAGTACTTTTATAAATAATTCTACTGTTTAAAGCTCAACCTGTCAACATAGTAGACA